GCTTTTTTTTTTTTTTTTTTTTGTAAAGACAGAATCTTGCTTTGTAGTTCAGGCTGGGTCTGCACTCACTATGTTGCCCAGGTTGGCCTCAAACTAAGAGTGATCCTCCTGGCCCAGCCCCACAAGTGCTGAGATTCAGCAATTTAAAAGCCAAGGAGACTGGCTTTTAAGCAGTGTAGAATCAGGCAGAGCTTGACTTCTAAATTTCTCCTTCTATTATTCTTTGAGTAATCACTTAAGTTTCAATTTTTATATCATGAAAACTAGCATAATACTGTAGTTACAAGAAACTTTGAAAATTTACTTTGAGATTAGTCAAAGGAGCAGCAACTAAATGATTCATTGATGTATTTATTCCTTACTTCAACATAAATTTGCTGAGCGTCACCACTAGTCATGAGCACGTTGTGTTGCCTCTGTGAAAAAACCCACAAACCTAGTGTCCATCTGAGTTCATACCTGTGGAGAAGGGGCAGAGAGGTTACTTTCTTAATTACCTCCTCCTTGCTATCGGACATGTACAACTTAAAGTAAGAAAGTTTAATTTGGCTCACAGTTTTTTGAGGTTTCAGTCTGAAGTTGTCTGGCTCCAAGGCAGGCCAGCATGGCAGAGAGGCGCGGCAAACAGGAAGCAGGCAAAATCAAGGAAAGAGGATAGATACTTATACACCCCAGTAGGCCAGGCCCACAGCGACCCATCTCTTCCCACCAGGCCGCACCTCCCCACATCACAGGCAAGTATAAACCCACCAGTGGGCAAATTCAGTGATGAGTGTCACACACTCATGATCCAGGCACCTCCTGAAAGCCCCACCTAAGAGCATAAGTGGCTTTGGGAGGAATATAAATATAAGGCATATACAGTTACACATAAAGAGAGATAGCACTAGACAGGGGTGGGGGCACATGCCTGCAATTTCAGTGCTGTGGGAGACTGAGACAAGAAGATTGAAAGTTAGTGCAAGTTAGGGACTTAGTGCAAAACAGTCTCAAAATAAAAAGGGTTGAGGATGTAGGTCAGCACAAAGGCCCTGGGTTTGATCCCCAGTATCACAAACCAACAAGCAAAAAATGGAGATACTATAAATGGCAGATGTTTTTTAATGCGTTGAGGAAATTTCAAAAGACCTTGGACAGAGAATGAAGGAAGCACTTCCTTAGAACAATGTACGTGCAGGGTAGGGCTTCTCTGAGAGGTCCATACAGGAGCAGACACTAAAAAAGCGAGTAGTGCAGACGGCCAGATGGCTGCGGGAAAGACATTGTGGGCAGAGCGCAGAGCAAATGCTGTGGCCTCAAGGAGAATTAGTGTAGCTTTTACTTTATTTTTCTCATTGAGTTTATTGGTACATTTTAGGCATACAGCACAGTTACATTCATTATTGGGATCTTGTACCTTTATATGACAGGTCTTGGTTCTCATTTTTCCCCTTGTCCCTGCCCTCCCTTCACCCCTCCTCCCTCCCACTTTACAAATACTTCATTTCCATTTCTGCATTTTCTCATATTTTTTCCTTTCCCTTATTACCTTTCCCCTACCCTTCCCACTTTCCATATACCTTTAACCCCTTTCTTCCTATTTCACACTGTCCATTATATCATTAGGATCTTATGTACTATTATAGTTTATTCACACCAGAGAAACTATTCAGTATTTACACATGTGACTTATTTATTTCACTTAGGAGTATATCCTCAATATGTACCCATTTTCCTATGAATGAATCTAATTTCTCATTCTTTATGGCTGAGTAGCAAACCGGGAGCAGGGCACAGAGTTAGGAAGAAGGCTGCATGAGCCAACTGAGATGAGTGCACTGGGAAGCCCAGGAATAGGAAAGGGTTATACTTTTGAAACTTTGAACTTTCATTCAAGGTAGAAACTATCTCATTGGACAAATTTTAAAGAAAAATCTTATCCTATCTTTGTACCTCATTCCCCCGTTCTGATTCCATTTTATGCATGCTTATTTCTCATGGCGTTCATATACTTCTCTGCTCTAGACATCCTGGATTTGTTGAAGGCAGAATTATTCTCTTCTTATTAACTCATATGGAAACATGAAATTCTCTGTAATATCAACTTATAACTACACTCTTCCTTACAAACATCACTGGAGTAGCTGTTGGTTCTGTAACCTGAACCTTAACTATTCAACATATGAATGTTGGGACCAGGAAATGGACTAAGGATATGGCATGATGCCTAAGCAGAATGAGGCAGTTTATACAAACATCCAGAGCTATTAGTGGACACACGGTGAATGGCTGAATGGCAAAAAAGAGCCATTCACTACTCAGGAGTAAATGTAATAATTTCTATATTCATTGTCATTATTGCTATTACTAGTGATGAGAGAAAGCCATTGGAATTATGACTGTGCATCACACCCTTCTGTGTTTATTTTTACTTTAGATTAACAATTTGTCAAACTTTGCATATGTTGTGATTTTTTTAAAAAAGCTAAATTTTTTTCTCAATTAACTGTCCTTTGAATAATTTTTAATCTTTTTAAACTTCTAGATTAAAGAATCCTTCTCTTTAGCACAATCCACACCAGATGGTCTCACTGGATAACTACAAGAACTCTGGTGACCAGATTTAGCAGATTTCAGCAGCTTAATATTGATTGCACATAGGAACCTTGGCTGAGCTTGTCTCTGCTGCACTACGTGACATGCAGGATTACAGTGGTCTTTGACAGAGAATTAGGGCATGGAGTTGATAATTTTTCCCTTAGATAAAATAAAACTATATCATAATATGGCTAATCAAGGTAAAGCAGGTAAGTAGGTGTTTCTAACTTTTAATGTTAAAAATTTTTCCCACAGGCCTTAAGGTTCGGAAGTCCATTGATATTTTTACCTATTAACAGAGATAAGACAGAAAATGATATGGTTATGTAAAGCCTGAAATATTGGAGTACTGCTATCAGTTTCATTCTCTAATTCTCAAACTGAACTGAACCTGGAGTTTAGATAAAGTTTTCATATTTTAACTTCATTATATTTATGTATAGGTATGATTTACCAACATTTAGAAAAAGCAAGTTTCTTCCAAAAATAATGAAAATACTTTACCCTAAATAAGTTTAAACTATGAGCAGTTGAAGTATTTTAAACTATGTATGCAGTTTGGAAAATTGGCTTTTACGCAGTGGTTTGGCTCAAAAACCACATTTTTTAGATTTGATATTCAGAATGATTATTTGTGCACATGTTTACTTCTTATTCTCCATACATCACTGAAATTACCCAAAGAGTTTAAAAAACAAAGGCGTTTCTATCATGAGGCTGGAAATACAGTATTTTCATTAAAGATTGAGAATCTTTGAGAAGTGGCTGAACTAAGCAGAGGGAGGCAAAGAAGATCCTTGCCTGATAGGTAATTGGGTAACTTTATCACCAGAAGACTGGGAAAGAAGAAGTAACCTTGGGGTAATAAAAACTGGAGATAATATTGACTAGTTAGATAACCTGGAAGTGAATACTATATGTCAAATTTATTTGTACCAAGGAACTTACAAATATCATAGGATTATCAGTTGGCTCTGTAGCCTGGACCTTAAAAATACAATCTATTAACGTTAGAACTAGGAAATAGACTAATAATAGGATGAGGATTCCCTATTCACAGCAGTTTTCCTCCTGTTCCTCTTGGAAATAAAGACAATAATCACAGGAGAACAATAGAACTTACAATAAGACATTTCCCTTTTGCCTTTCCATTTGAACTTCTACCTTTCTACTTAAAAATGCAATTCAAAACTAATTCCTGGCCATCTTACAGGTGAGAATAGGATAGGAAGCAGTTACCTGCTGCTGCCTTAGTAGTTAGAAGCACCTGCAGGGAAAGGAATAATGTATCATTTCAGATGCCTGTGGCCATCTGGATCTCCAGTCTAGCACAATCAAATCACAGAAAATGTATACCTTCTCCTCCTCTTTGGCAAGGGATGAAATCTTCAACATATTCTCTGTAAAATAAACCACAAGTTATGTTAACAGAAAAACAGAACTTTGTGCTTAAGAATATGCAGACGTAGAAAAATCACTGGGTATATGAAAAGATTGAGTAGTCCAAAGAATGTGCTAGAAAATCATTACAAATTTAATCTTAAATAATTTGGACTTACTTTATGAACTAGAAGAGCAAAACAAAAAATTCTTCCATATTTATTCATATTATATTTTTATATCATATATTTTATTATATTCATATTATATTATATATATTTATTCATATTATTGCTTAAAGTAACTTTCTGCCTCAACTTGTAACAATTTGAGGTTTTTGAATCTTGTTTTTGATGAAAAGCATCATTAGGTTTGCTAACAAACTGACAACTGAAAAAATGTATTGTATGTGGCACTCATATGTGGTTCATGACATTAAGTCACTGAATTAGAGATTTTCTCCTAGAAGTAAAGAAAAAGATGAAGAAAAATAATTTTAAACATAGAGCTCTAAGAAATACTATATATTTATGATGTAAATGTCATTGAAAGCAAAGTAAATGGAAGAGAAACAACACAGAAGTAATGGAAGAAAACGTTTTGAAGGTAAGACATGGTACACTCTTAAGATTTTAAGACATAGGGTCAGGGATTGAGCTCAGTGGTTCCGGCGCCTGCCTTACAAGCACAAGGACCTGAGTTCGATCCCTGGTACCAAAAAAAAGGATAGATTTAGGGCTGGGGACTCAGCTCAGTGGTGCTACAACTGCCTTGCAAGCACAAGGTCCTGAGTATGTTCCCTGGTAATGAGAAAAAAAAAAAAAAAAAAAA